CTTGTTTTCATAAAACAAATTTTGAAGTAAATATTCTTCAGATGCATCATGGTCATTGATTGAAATCATTTATTCATCTAGTTGCTCTAGTATTCTATTAGTAAAATAGACATATAATTGTTTAGCAGGATTTGTCTCGTTGCATAAATGTAGCGATTTTAATTAGGATAGTGGATACTTGCACCTTCGGTGTGAAGTGTTTATTAAAGTATCTACTAAAAAACACACTGAGATGCTAAGGTTCAGGTTTTCGAACTTTTGAATACGCGACAACCTAAGAATCTCTCAGCGTTCAAACGTAGTGGATTAAGGGGGGTGGGGGACCCAAGTTTTTCCACTAGTTTGTAAAGGACACTTCGGAGTATGTGTCTCAACAAAACTTCCGGTTCCCGGATTTGTGGTTTTTGGTCAAAAAAAGTCTGAAGTTTGTTTCCGGTTTCTGCCCTATTTTTAAACCTTGACTTTTTGATATGAAGAGTTGATTCTGGTGTAGTTCGATAGAGAACATTAACTTGCGTTAGGAGAAACACTTTTCATCGTTTCCGAATGAAGTTTGACGCAGAAATTTAACGTTCACCTTCCCGAGAAAGTTTCACAGCTAAAAGTGTTTTTTAATTCACCTTACGGCTAGTTTCGTTCAAAGCAAAACTCTGGATACAAAAGTTGTTCAAAATCAAATTCTGCAGTCTCTAACGAGAGGCTTTTTTAAAATTGTCGTTTTACGATTTTTAAATTAAACTTTACGGTTTTTAAAGCTTCAAAATTTTGCATTTTTCGTGGTAAACATAAACATATAATTACAGAGAAAAAAAAAATTATATTGACAACGGGAACAATCGTGTTTTCTTTGTTAGCATATTTTATTCAAGTTTTTTACGATGATTTTTTTCTTTTTTTGCTATATGATTTGGGAAGTATATAAAATGTGTGAGAATTTTCGATGAAAACTTTGTTACATGTAAGTGATCGAATTTTTTTAATATCATTTTTTTGTTCTCACCATTCAAAATCTCATTTTTGTTTCTCTCTTCTAAAAGGATTTCTTTCTTCCTATACTGAGCGAAAGGAAGCTATATAAAAAGTTCATTCCAATTTTTTTTCTTGCTCTCTAAATAAAAGCACTTATAAGTAATTGTTTGAAACATAGTATGTAATAAAAATTGAATAAATGAGACCATATAAAAAAAAAATTACCTTTTCTTATTTTTGAAAAGTCGAACTCAACATATATTAGTATATTATCAATTATTATTGTCTGCACTTAGTGGCGTATCCAGGCGGGGGCTAGAGGGGATCAGCCTCCTCTACGAACGGTCGGACTATACCTGGAAAAAGGCTCGAGCCCCCTCTAGACTTACGATTAGACGGGCTGAGCCCCCTCTACAACTTTTTTCTGGCGACGCCACTAGTTCTAGTAGCTTTTTATTCTAATTAAATCGTGTCTGCGCAACATTGATAATTGAACAACAGTGTTTCAAAGTTGAGAAGTTGGCGGTGTAGCAACAAAATAAAGAGAATGTTGACATAGCTGCACCGCTTCCATTGCCAGAACCGTAGAGAACGCAAAAGAAAAATGCTGTGATTACGCCAGTCTTTCGCTCTCGCGCAGTATAAACATTCAAAGCCATAGTGGGTTTATTTGAATCAATGGACAAAATGATGTCATCATTTTTCCCAGAGTATGGATGATTGACTCATTTCACAACAATGTGTAAGTTTTAAATTTTGCATGAGCAAATGGAAAAATTACCTGGACTGACTTTATATAAAAAGCGTTTGTCGTCCGTAGTTAATACTGTTACTAAACGTAAAAGAAACACCCGTCTAACTGCTTTTTTTCTCGACATGCTCATAACAAACAATTCATCGATGGCGCTCGACCGGGAGTCGTTGAATTCAATAACAAAGTTGAAACTGGATCAATTCAGAATACATAAGCACAAATTCGACAACGAATACGCTCGAATCATGAACGAAACAAACGAACAGTCACTTTATGCCAAAACGAAGATTCTATACGAGGGAATACAGCGGCTCTTCGGCGATGAAGGTAAAGAACGGTATTTGACAAACTTCGGTACATCGTTGACCGTGGCTGGATTGAACCCATCGACATTGAGCAATTTGCTGGAAACTTACTACAATCAACTTATGAACATTATCGATGGCGGCAAACGGCGTTCAGATTACAACTATTTATTCGGTTTGATTATGTCTCAATGGCTTTCGGAACAGGAAAACGAGTTCACATTATTACGAACGAAATCAATCACGACAGAATGTCTATCAGCAAAAGAAAAACTGGAAGCAATAATTTTTGATCGTCCCAAGTTAGATGTCGACGACTGGCATGATTTCATACAGAACAAACTCTTTTCGTTCTTCGATCGACATGCGAAAGGCAAAGACGCTTTTAAACGGTTCAGGACAGAAACAGAAAAATATGGTCAGATGTTATTGACGCAGATAGTGTCATCGGATGATATCGTCCGAGCGATTCAGTATTTACTTATCGGTGATTCGTTTGATGAACAGCGAAGGGCAATCTTAAAGAAATTGGAAACAGATACAGTTGCTCTACAAGATGTTGCTTCGTCGTTGAATCTGCTGATTTCCGACCTAGTGCAATGGAATTGGCCAGTTGAGGGCGTACGCGGTGTCTTCCATCGAAATTTAGCAGGAAAATATCGATGTTTTCACGAAGAAGATTATCTAACAGCTATCTTTTTACAGCATATAGGAGCAAAGTGGAGTTATCATTTCAAACGAGAACTGCGAAGTCTGTTTGATGTGTTGATCGAGGATGCAAAAGCGAATTGCTCTTCGACTTCAATTCAAAACGAGCGTTTAGATATGCAACGCGCTGAATACTGGATGGGAACGTTGCCGGATGAGGAGGACGACGTAAACAACAACGCTTCCGACAAGAACAGCGGCGTCGGATTAAAAGAAAAACTGCTAAATTTAATGAATGTCGAAATTGATTTGCACCAGACGTTACATCCTCTAATGCCATTTACGGTCGTGTGCGCTGATCTCGAAGACTTCGGACTATTGATTTCACACGAAATTGTTCATAAATTTCTGCAACTGTGTGGTGTACCACAGGTTTGGCTCGATTTTTTCGATCGTTTCCTCAAACAACCAGTGTATCATAAACCACATGAGCCAGTTCGTCAGCGTCAACGCGGTGTACCGATTGCACATTCTCTTTCGTACTTGTTTTCTGAACTAATTTTGTTCGGCATGGACTTGTACGTCTACCAAAATACGGGCATTTTCAACTATCGCTTGCACGACGATTTCTGGTTTTTCGATTCACAGTCATCAAAACTTCAACAGGCTTGGGCATTGATGAACGAATATGCAAACATAACCGGACTCAAGTTCAATAAGGAAAAGTGTGGTTCAGTTCAAGTTCTATCCTCGAATACAACGAATCCCCCCAACGTGTCGGTCGTCGATTCACCACTGCCTCAGAACTACGTGAAATGGGGACTGCTCAGTCTACAAACAAATGGTCATTTCACTCCGGATCCACGAGCAATCACACCATTCCTTGACGAAATGAAAGAACGACTGAGCAGTGTGGCAACGATTTTGGAATGGATCAACGTTTATAATAAATATGTAGCATTTTTCATGAGTAATTTCGGCAAATATGCGAACCCTCTGGAAACAAGTCACGTCGAAGAGATAGTTAAAATATTCCAATACATTCATGAGTATTTATTTCTCGAAAACAACAACAATGCATTGACCGTGTTGACTAATTTGATCAAGCAACAATTCCCGGAATGCTTTCCTGGAGAAATTATCGAAGCCTGGTTTTATTGGCCACTGAGCAAGGGTGGACTTGGGATAAAAAATGTCTGTCTTGATCTTTGCAGTGCTTTCAGCCGATCGCCAGACGAAACGAGAACTACTTTTACTATATTACTCGCAAAAGATCAAGAAATGTACAATGACAGTGATGATGACGATGACGGCGATCATGACCACGACGGTGATGATGACAAGGAAGATGATGATGGTACAGAAACATCCATGACATTCGAGAGTTACATTGTAGAATGTGAAACTGATTTAGCGCACTGGAAAGATGTTTACACCGAATTGTTGGAAATCAAAACTCCCACATTACCTGTACTTACAAAAGTATTGCAGGAACATATTTTATCGTTCCAAGGTCAGACAACTCTGTTACCTGTTCAAGACCAACAATATGAAAACAAATATCCCCCACCATTGCTTTCATGGCAACAGCGAGAGAAAGAATTAACAGAGGCTTACAATGAATGGTTAGTGTGCCAATATTGTAAACAGATTGAATCAACATTTGGTCAGCTAGATTTTATCGCCAGCGACAATGTACCAGTCGGTTTGATTTCCATGATCGAAAAAGCAAAGATCAATTGGAACAAGCGAACAAAGTGAATCGGTGCGATTAACATTGGAGAGCAGAACCAAAACATGCTAATTAATTAGAACTTTACATATTCTTTCTGTATTTGTGTGTAAACAGCGCATGCTCTGAACAATATATAATACCAGTCTATTAAATTTTTATTCATATTGACTTACGTTTAAAATTTAATTTTTAGCTCAAAAAATTAAGAATTTAATTCTCTAGAAAACTGTCGATTTTGTTTTGAAATTAATTTAGAATCTTCCTCGTAGAAATAAAAATACTAAAATGAACCGTTATGAAAAATCAATTATTGAAGTCGAAATGACTGTTTGATAATGCGATTTGTATCATTTTTTTGACATCTGATTGTGTGAAAAACTTTATTTTAAACGACTAAATGGTTATTATTATTCACCATTTTATTTTGCAGTAAAGTATGTATATAAGAAACATGATTTCAACGAGAAATGCACTTCTAGAGTAAAACGGAGTTGTCAACAGTCTTCTATATAGCCCCATGTAGCTTTAAGCAGACGAGTCCAATGTACATCTGGTATCTAGGTAATATCTAAAATCGATCCGTCGCAAATGCTCCGACTTCAGCTGGTTCTAAGACCGT